CACTTACAAACCAGACCCCACTCATTTGCAAGTACATCCTACTTTCCCTTTTTTCCATTTTGATAGTCTATAGCTTGCTGGCATGTGAGCCCTACTTCAATTAGGATTATTTCTCTTTTTGTTATCATATATAAGTCTACGTTGTTATTACTTCTTGTACAGAATAACTTCTCATCTGTTTACTTCTCTTAAACATAATCTTATCCATTATAAGTAGGTGTAAGTAGCTGTTTCATTATGCCTTCTAATGTAGTACCGTCTGAGCATTTCGTACAGAAATATAAACTACTTTAAAATAAAGTATTTCCTTTTTCCTCTCTTTATATTATAGCTAGAGCAAAACACTGAATTTTTTTTTAAATTATGTATGTGAGCTTATATTTATAAATCCGTAAATTTAATCCAACAATAGTAAAGAATGTTAGAAAATACTGGTTTTAAGCAGAAGGCATTGAGTCTGACATTACTGAAAATCACTAGATTGGAAGAAACAAATATGAAATGTTAGAAGGGTTGAAAAAACAGACAGCTGAGCACAAGAATATGCTGAATGACAGAAGGTGCCAGAATTGTCATCAGCTGGAATGTTCATGCCCCTAAGGATGAAGGCAGAGGAACAGAGGTAAAAAAGGAAGAAGTTTCTCAGATATCCACAAATAACAGCAGCAGGCCTAGGGAGTAGATGGCACTAAAAGGATGCAACAGAGAAATGCTGAGAAGATATGATATTCTGAAAACAACAGGGGCTGGAGAAGCAGGTTCTCCATTAGGGAGGGCCATCAAGGCAGCTGAGGCACCAAAGCAGAGGTCAGCTGTGGATTACGGCATTGAGGGCAGGGGCATTCCAGGAGAAAGATGAAGACAAAAGGATGTTTCCTGCCAGGTACAAGCAGGCACAATAGAAAAGGCCGGTACAAGAAGAGGCAGGAGTCATGATGATAGGGACACAAAGAAATGAAAAGTAAAAGACAGATAGTAGGAGGTAATAGCGTGAACCTAGGATAGAAATTTTTAAGACCAGGAATAAAGAACGTAAAAAAGTCAAGCATGACTAGAGAAGAAAGGTTGGTTTATTTAGAACTGTCAGGTTTGAGCGAACCAAAACCGCAAGGAGAATAGTTCTTTATGGGGAACGTTGCCAGGGACAGGACAGGCTGGAAAAGGTCTGGAAGACAGGATTAGGGGTCCTGCATCACCAGGAGCTGAATTACTGGAGGCCTGCAGCAATTCAGCTTCTGGTGATGCAGACACAAACAGCAGCAGAAGAGGCCAACCACACCTGTGATAAAGAACTAGTATCCAAAATAAATGATCAACTCTTACAACTCAACAGTAAGAAGGCAAATAACCCAATTTTAAAATGGCAAAAGATTTGAATAGACATTTCTCCAAAGAAGATACACAAATGGCCAATAAGTAAAGGAATACATGGTCAAATACATTTGTCATTAAGGGAAATGCAAATCAAAACCACTACAAGATAACCATTTCACACCCACTAGCAGCTATAATCAAAAAAACAGACAATAACAAATGCTAGCAAGGTTGTGGAGAAATTGGAACCCTTGTACACTGTAGGTGGGAATGGAAAATAAAATAGTACAGCCACTTTGGAAAACAGGTTTGGAGTTCCTCAAATGATTTAAACACTGAGTTATCATGCCCTAGCAATTCCACCTGTAGGTATATCACCAAAGCACATGAAAACATATGTCCACATACAAACTGGAACATACAGTAATGTTCATAGAAGCATTATGCACAATATCCAAAAAGTGGAAGCAAACCAAATGTCCATCAACTGAAGACTGGATAAACAAAATGTGATATATCTATACATGGCATACTGCTGGTCATAAAAAGAAATGGAGGGGCCGGCTCCGTGGCTTAGCGGTTAAGTGCGCGCGCTCTGATGCTGGCGGCCCGGGTTCGGATCCCGGGCGCGCCCCGAGGCACCACTTCTCCGTCCAACGTGAGGCCGAGTCCCACGTACAGCAACTAGAAGGATGTGAACCTATGACATACAACTATCTACTGGGGTTTTGGGGGGAAAAACTGAATAAAAAAAAACTTTAAAAAAAAAAAAAAAAAAAAGAAATGGAATACGGACATATACTACAATATGGACGTACCTTGAAAACATTATGCTAAATGAGAGAAGCCAGACACAAAAGGCCACGTATTGTACGATTCCATTTATACAGAAGGTCCAGATTAGGCAAATTTATAGAGACAGTAAGTAAATTAATGATTCCTTAGAGCTGGAGAGAGGAAGGAGAATGGAGATTGACTGTTAATGGGTACATGACTTCTTTTAGAAAGGACAAAAATGTTCTAAAATTAGATTGTGATAATGGTTGCACAGCCCTGTGGATATACTAAAAACTACTGAACCGCACACTTTAAATGGGTGCATCGTATGATATGTAAATTACATCTCAATAAGGCTATTAAAAAATGCTATCTTATTTGTACCCATAGGATTTTAATTTGTGGAGGTGACTGAGTGCCGACATGGAGAGACCAATGCCACTGAAAGACGAATATATTACCACTTAGATTTCCCAAGAGAAGGAGGCACACCATGCCACACAGGATGCCGGAGGAGCACCAGGTTTCTTCAGGATGTAGAGAGAGGAGTGAGAATTTAAGAATTTATAAATTCTTAAACCAGAGCCTTTTTTGAGTTTTCCTCAGGAAAGGCAAGGCAGGGCAGGGTAAACAATGTAAGACTGGCCAGTTTGAGTAATTCATGCAGGCTTTGGGCTACAAGGGCTGTCTCTTGTTGTCTGGTACCTGGCTCTGGGATGATTGAGAGCAGGGACTATATTGGCTTAGTGTGTGCGAGAGTTAGATAAGGAGGTAGCTGAAGACTACAGATTCAGGATTGGTTGGTTTGCATATGAAAGGCACGTTTGGGCAAGCTGTTATCTTGAGGAATTAGCTAGCCCAGGGAGAGACACTCTCTCCCCGAGGCCCCCAAATGCCAAGGCAACAAGAATACAGAAAATAAGAAAATATAGTTAATGTAATTGGCCCTGTGATAAATGGATGGCAAACAGACAAATACAGAATCTAAGAAAACAGAACAAATACATACAATAGAAATTCACAGGCTGATTCTACGAATTTATAAATTCTTAAAATTTATATTAAAATTTAAATAATGCAAAGAATCCAGAAGAGTGGAAACAATCTTGGAAATAAAAAAACCAAGACAGAGAACTTACACTGCATGATTTCAGACTTATTACAAAGCTATAGTAATCAAGACAATGTGGTAGTGGCATAAGGATAGACAAACACATCAATGGAACAGAATAAGAAGAGTCCAGAAATAGGCCTACCCATATATAGTTGACTGATTTTCCACAAAGGTCTAAAACTAATTCAATGGTGAGAGGAAAGTCTTTTTTCAACAAATGGTGCTAAAACACCTGAATATCCATAAAGGAGGGTGAGGGGGTGGGAAGGAACAAATCTCGACCCTTACCTCTCACCATTCATAAAAATTAATTCAAGATAAGTAATAGACAAATATAAAAATTAAAACTATATATGAAGCTTCCAGAAGAAAACACAGAATATCTTTGTGACTTTGAAGTGGGCAGAGATTTCTTAATATACAAAAAGCATTAACCATAAAAGAAAAAAATGATAAATTGGACTTTATTCAAATTAAAAACTTCAAAAGATACCATTACAGAAATGAGAAAGGAAGCCACAGACTAGGAGAAAATATTCACAATGCACATTAGGCAAAAGATTCATATCCATAATATATAAAGAACTCCTACAAATCAATAATATAAAGTCAAACAACCCAATTTGGATAACAGATTTGAACAGATGCTTCACAAATACGAATGGCCAATATGCACATGAAAAGGTGTTCCTCATCATCAGCAATATGCAAATTAAAACCACAATGATACAACTTCACACTCACTAGAATGGCTAAGATTAAAAAGACTTGCAAGACCACGTGATGGTGAGAATATGTAGCAGCTGGAACTTGCATAGATTCCTGAGGCAAGTATAAAATAGTACAACCACCCTGAAAACAGGTTGGGAGTTTCTTATAAAATTAAATATATACCTACCCTATGACCTAGCAGTTCCACTCCTAGTTACGTACCCAAATGAAATTGAAACATATAGTCACAAAAAAGCATTGTAGAAAAACGTTCATAGCAGTTTTATTCAGGATAGCCAAAAACTGAAAACAACCCAAATGTCTATCAATAGCTTAAAAACTGTAGTACGTTCATACTATTGATTAGTACTCAGCAATAAAAAAGAATGAACTACTGGGGCCGGCCCAGTGGCGCAAGCGGTTAGGTGCGCGCGCTCCACTGCAGTGGCCCGGGGTTCACCGATTCGGATCCTGGGCATGCACTGATGCACTGTTTGGCAAGCCATGCTGTGGCGGTGTCCCATATAAAGTGGAGGAAGATGGGCATGGACGTTAGCCCAGGGCCAGTCTTCCTCAGCACAAAAAGAGAGAGGAGGATTGGCAGATGTTAGCACAGGGCTGATCTCCTCACAAAAAAAAAAAAAAAAAAGAATGAACCACTAATACATTCTACAACATGGATGATGAATCTCATAAACATTATGTTGAGTTTTAAGAAGCCACTTGCAAAAAGCCATACATTATATGATTCCATTCATATGAAATTCTAGAACAGGCAAAACTAACCTACAGTGATAGCAACTAGAACAACTGTTGCCTGGCTGTGGGGGCCTGGTATTGACTAGCAATGGGCACAAGTGAACTTATCGGGGTGAGGAAAATAGTCATATCTTAAGTCAGGTGGTGGATAAGGGTTTTCTACATCCATCAAAATTTGCTGAACTCATTTAAGAAATTCATTCAAAATCATTACATTTTATTAAATGTAAATTATACCTTTAAAACAGTAAAATTCATTGATTGCATATAATAGCCATACAAAAGTTGCATAAAACAGAAATAACATTTGAATAAAAACAAATACCTTTGTCCACCTGCAAAGCTTCACCCCAGAGTGGCTCCCAATTAACTGATAACCTGAATGGAAAAAAGAGAACACAAAATTGAATTGATTCAAAGCCTTATATCAAAAGATGATTATAAAACTGTAGCAAAATCATTTTTCTCTGCTTAAATAATGGTAGGCAACAACCCAGTGGCAAAAAACATTAAAACGTTAATTCACTAGGATGATAAAATAATTTAAAACATGTATGCATCTAATAAGAGACTCAAAATACATAAAGAAACAATAGGCTAATCCAAAATCAGAGAGAGAGATTTTAACATCTCTCAGCATCTAACAGATCTCATGAACCAAAACTCAGTAGAGCTCTAAGATCTGAGCAACACAGCAAACTTGATCAAGGACACATAGAGAGCACTACACTCAACTACAGAACGCACATGCTTTTCTTTTTTTTTTTTTCCCTTTTTTTTTTGTGAGGAGATCAGCCCTGTGCTAACATCTGCCAATCCTCCTCTTTTTTTTGCTGAGGAAGACTGGCCCTGGGCTAACATCTGTGCCTATCTTCCTCCACTTTATATGGGACGCCACCACACCATGGTTTGCCAAGCAGTGTGTCGGTGCGCGCCCCGGATCTGAACCGGCGAACCCTGGGCCGCCACAGTGGAACGCGTGCACTTAACTGCTCGTGCCACCAGGCCGGCCCCCAGAACGCACATGCTTTTCAAGGACCCAACGAACATTTATAAAAATGAACCGAAGATATACAGATGGCCAACAGGCACACGAAAAGATGTTCAACATCACTAATTATTAGGGAAATGCAAATCAAAACTACAATGAGATATCACCTTACACCCATCAGAATGGCTATAACTAACAAGACAAGAAACAACAAATGTTGGAGAGGATGTGGAGAAAAGGGAACTCTCATACACTGCTGGTGGGAATGCAAACTGATGCAGCCACTATGGAAAACAGTATGGAGATTTCTCAAAAAATTAAAAGTAGAAATACCATATGATCCAGCTATCCCACTAATGGGTACTTATCCAAAGAACATGAAATCAACAACTCAAAGAGATTTATACATCCCTGTGTTCAGTGCAGCATTATTCACAACAGCCAAGACGTGGAAGCAACCCCACTGTCCATCAATGGATGAATGGATAAAGAAGATGTGGTATATATATACAATGGAATACTACTCAACCATAAAAAGACAAAATCGTGCCATCTGCAACAACATGGATGGACCTTGAGGGTATTATGCTAAGTGAAATAAGCCAGACAGGGAAAGACAAACACCGTATGATCTCACTCATATGTGTAAGATAAACAAACACATGGATAGGGAGAACAGATTACTGATTACCAGAGGGGCAGGCGGGGAGGGTAAAAGGGGTAAAGGGGTACATATGTACAGTGACAGATAAAAACTAACCTATTGATGGTGAGCAACATGCAGTCTATACAGAAACTGATATATAATAATGTACACCTGAAATTTATACAATGTTATAGTCAAATATGACCTTAATAAAATAACTTTTTTAAAAAGATGAACCAGGGGCCGGCCCCATGGCTTAGCGGTTGAGTGCGCATGCTCCACTGCTGGCGGCCCGGGTTCGGATCCCGGCTGCGCACCGATGCACCCCTTCTCCGGCCACGCTGAGGCCGCGTCCCACATACAGCAACTAGAAGGATGTGCAGCTATGACATACAACTATCTACTGGGGCTTTGGGGGAAAAAAATAAATAAATAAAATTATTAAAAAAAAAAAGATGAACCATATGCCAGGCCATAAAGCGAAAGCAAGCAACAATATATTTCAAATGAATGACTGGAGAACTCTCATCAGTAATCTTTGAAAAAGGATGAAGAGTCAGATGGGCAACAGAAGAATAAAATAAAGAAATATTACCCAAAAAAGTGGAAAAATCAAATCCTAGGAACTATAACCTAACATGAATCCTCAGCACCACTTCACAACCTATCATTTAAAATTTTTGAGCCATATAAGCCATGAAAAGCATAGAAAAGCCATGCCAAAGTAATCACATTTCCTTTTTTTTTTTTTTTATGAGGAAGATCAGCCCTGAGCTAACATCTGCCAAAACTCCTCTTTTTTTGCTGAGGAAGACGGGCCCTGGGCTAACATCCATGCCCATCTTCCTCTACTCTACACGGGACGCTGCCACAGCATGGCCCGCCAAGCGGAGCGTCAGTGCACGCCCGGGATCCGAACCGGCAAACCCCGGGCCACCACAGTGGGGCGCACGCACCTAACTGCTTGCGCCACCAGGCCAGCCCCTCACATTTCCTTTTTTTAACAAACTAGTAGAGCAAACAAGTAGAACATTCTGATTTCAGAAAGCATTTAATAAAGTTTCTCATGAGGCTTCAAGTAATAAGCCACAATTATCATGAGTCTCTTGCACAAAAAGGCTCTTGACTTGCAGACAAATGAGGCAAATGGAGAAATACATTCTGGAAGATGGCATAAGTGGATCGGTGGCTGGTGACACATCCACATTCACAGTGTGATGATTAATGGAACAATGTCAATTTGGATTACAAGTCTCTAGTGGCAAAATTACAGGGCTTTGTCTTTTATCCTCTTCTACATTTATGTCAACATCTTGCATATAAATAAACAAAGCACTGCTTATCTACGTGAAGACGGAACTGAGTCCAACTAATAGCTAATCTCAGATACAGAATAAGCATTTAAAAGATTCCCAGAGAAAATTCTAGCTCTTCTTTTGGACTCCTATATCATATGTTCTTCATACCGTCAGAGAAATCACACTCTATTATACTAGTTCTTTATATCTTTCTCCCCCCCAAGATACAGAGGGTTCTACAAAATTTTGCATTTAGGTAGGTATGGAAGAAACTGCACAGTACAGGATAGAGAGACCCATAGCTGACCACAACACCAAGCTAAGCCAATAGTATGCAGCTGCTGAAAATCACACTGCAGAATCTGCTTCTAACCAAGATGGAGTAACAGAGGGTTTACTCTCCCAGCTGAAATACCAAAAATGGACAAAATATATGAAACAAGTTTTCAAGACATGAAACATCAGGCAACATACGACAGTGACCCCAGAGAGACGGGAAATAAACAAGAGGGGCCCTACCATTACCAAGCTTACTGCCTTGAAAGCTTCCAGGCTGTGCAGCAGGGAGAGGCAACCCAAGCAAAGCTCGGTGTTCTCCCCGAGTTGAGGACATGGAAGCGAGAATCTGGAGAGCCCACGTGGCTCGAGTTTGCAGGACTGAGTACCTGAGAGAAAAAAGCTACACAGAGATTGAACTCAAGAGTCTGCAGAGGATTCCTATAAGTATTTGCCTGAGTACTGCTTAGTGCATATGGGAAAGAAAAACTACCCAAGAAAGGGAAAGAATCATCTGCGGTATCCCTGATGCTCAGGGCCAGCTGGGAACTGTGCCTGTTCCTACCAGTCAGACAGGAAACCTCAAGATTCACAGGGCACTGGCAGAGCACACAGAAGTGTCTTGCCTCAATAGTGGGGAATAATTAGCTGTATACTGAGCCAGCTCTGGTCTCACCTAACAAGTCATAAAAGAAAGATTAAAAGGCTCAAACTGTTTCCAAGTAACTTGTCTTTACCCCAGAACAAAGCTTAAGAATGTTTATAGGAATACAAAAATGTCTAGCACCCAGTAAGGTAAAATTAGATCTGGCAGCCAATCAAAGATTACCAACCATGCAAACAGATAGGAAAATACTACTAATAATGTGGAAAATAATTCAGCAACCAAAACTGACCCAGAAATGACACAGATGTTAGCAGATAAGGACAATACAACAACTGTATTCCATAAGCTCAAAAAGTTAAGCAGAGACATGGAAGATATAAAAAGACCCAAACTGAACTTCTAGAGATGAAAACTACAATGTCCAAGCTGAAAAATACACTGGATAGAATTAATGGAGAATTAGACATTAGAGAAGAAAAAATTACTAAATTAAACTTGAAGACACAGCAGTACAAACTATCCAAAAATGAAAAGTGGGACAGAAAAAAGAATTTTAGAAAATGAAAAGAGTATCAGTGAGCTGTGGGTCAAATTCAAGTGGCCTATTATACACGTTAACTGGAATCCCCAAGAAAGAGGAGGGGGGTGGTGACAGAAAAATATTTGAAGAAATAATCACCAAAATTTGTAGGAATTTGATTAAATCTATAAATCCACAGAACCAAGAAGCTCAACAAACCCCAAGTAAAAGAAACATGAAGAAAACTACGTTGAGACACATTGTAATTAAATTGCTCAAAATCAGTAATTGAGAGAAAAATCTTAAAAGAAGCCAGGGGGTAAAAAACATTACATTCAAAAGAACAAACAAAAGATGACTGCCAAGCTCTCATCAAAAGCAGTGCAACGGAGTGGACAGTGGGGTAGCATCTTTAAAACAGCAAAAGAAAAAAGCTGTCAACCTACAATTTTACATCCATCAAAAAATATCCTTCAAAAATGAAGGCAAAATAAAGCCTTGTTCAGATATACAAAAGCTGAAATATTCATCACCAATAAACCCACACTACAAGAAATGCTAAAGGAAGTCCTTCAGGCAGAAAGAAAACACTGTTAGAACACAGATCTACACCAAGGAATGAAAAGCACCCAGAAGTGGTGACTACATGAGTCAATATTTAAGATTGTTTCTAACTGTTTAAATCTTTAATAGATAACTGACTACTTAAACCAAAATAATAACAACGTAAAAGTGAGATGTGTAATAACAATTGCATGGAGATGGAGAAGGGGAAATCAGAGGTACACTATTGAAGGTTCTTCTATTGTACACGAAGTGCTGGACCACCACTCAAAGATACACTATGATATGGGAAGGAGGCACAGCATAGAACCTCGAGCAACCGCAAAATAACACAACAGTGCCACAGCTAGTAAGCCAACAAAGAACATAAAACAGAATCATAATCTAAAAGGCAGAAAAACAGGAAAAAAGAAATCGAAGAACACATGAGACAAGTAGAAAACAAACAGCAAGATGACAGATTTAAACCCATCATAAAACCACTTTAAATAGTCTAAATACTCTAATTATAAAACAGATTTTATATATATAGCATATCTATTATTTATATACTATATATAATTTATATATATATTATACATAAAACCTGCATATCCTTATCTGTCTCCTCTAATAGGCTGAGTTCCTTGAAGGAAATACTGTATCTTATGTTTCTCTGCATTGCCAGAACGTCACATAAAAGGTTCTCAATAAATACAGAAAGAGAGAGGGAGGGAAGGAAGTCAGTCTATCGACTCCCAATTGACTACTTTCTTCTACAGGAAACCAATATTATTACTCATTCATTCGACTACAGCCTTCTTAATTTTCCATCTTCTGGCATGTTCTATCTGCATACCTGAGCCACACTGATGGTAAAGTAACATCCCAACAAACCAAGCAAAGAGGAAATTTGCTGGCCCAGGCAGCTGACACATAAGTGATCCACAGAAACAAGACAGTGACTCCTCAGACAGCTACAGCTTCCACAGTAACACAGCTGCTGAGCCAACTACAGAGCAACTTCATCATCTGTTTTCCTCTTAGCAATCCCTAATGTATGCTTCCTCTTTTAGGTATTAAATTAGAATGCAGAAGAGTGTAGTATCATAACAACGATTCTTGAGGACTTTCACCTTGTTTAGTAAGGGCTTCTCGGAGAGCAGGAGTTATCATAGCTCTTCTTTCACTGGCTTCATTCTTTGCTGTGTTCCTGAACAAACTAGTTTTCTCTTCCTGCTGCTCCTTTTCTCTCTGTATTAAAATAAAAAGAATGAAATCCAGAATTGGTAACGTACAATGAAAATAACAGCACAACAATCAGGAACACGTAGAATGGATAGAAAGGTTCATCACGAACCATGGCCCACAACTGTGTTCTCTCCAACATTTCCAGGCAGACAACGATCTAAAGATATAGCAGAGTCTTTTTTTTTCCCCAAAAACGTTAACTACATACTCAAACACACACACCCACAAAACATAAATCAACAATCCACTTATCTAGATGTCAAATATTTTTAGCAATCTGAGTACAGACAGCTGTCTAACTTCAGCAAGTTATTTCTCTGAATTTCAATTTCCCCACCTGAAAAAGAAGAAAAGTAATATCTATGGAGCAGGAATATGTTGAAGATTAAATGAAATAAAATCATCTGGCACAATGCCTGCCACATAATAGGAGTTCAATAAATTGTAGCTACTGCTGGTTATTACATCGGCAAACCCCAGAAAAAGTCAAAAGAATGCTCTCAGCTGCCCAGAAAGCCGCCTGCTCAGAGACCAAGTTACTCCACCACCTCCACCTCCACCTCCATGGCTCCTTTTGAAGATCCAATGGAGAAAATTTGTCTTCAGTGATAGAAAGAAATCTGAAACACAATATAAAACTGACTGTGTTTCCTTTTGACTTTGGCCACTAGAAAATTCAGCGACACACCTCTGATCACTGTATAAGGCCTTGCATTCTGCCTGTCTTGTATTCTCTGTAAGTGGTTTCATATTACAAGATGACCCTCATTCACTCTTTACACTGATTTCTTCCCCTTTTTTTAAATCTTATCATACGTATGTATATATTTTTTAAAGTTATCTCAATGTCTTTTTGGAAGATGGTAGAGTGCCAATTAATAATTTTGAGACAACACACAAAGTGTGTGTTACCCTTTAGAGGAGACACTCAGTAGATCTTACTAAGAGCTGCAGACATTCAAAATAACTCTCCTTGGCAGCAGCCCTACCACCAAGCCCCAGACTACCCTCAGTGCCTGCCCACTGCCAATGTCAGTGAGTGGACTCACAGTAATAGCCTTTCCACCTAACAATGAAAATACCTCACAGATGAGATGATGCCTGAGACCTGCATCAAACTAATACAGAAGGGAGGATGGCCCATGCTTGAAGTTGGGCATTAGGTGACAGGGATTCACTGTATCATTCTGTCTACTTTTGTGAATGTTCAAAATTCTCTATAAATAAAACAGATAAAAAATTTTTAACAAAATGTTATAAGGTTAAAACAATGAAATTCAGAGATAACTTCTCTACCTTCTCTGTTACTTCAGGGACTTGTTCTGAAATGAGAAGTCAGTGAAAAGACACTTTAGAGAGTCAAATGTACCAAGTGAGAAACATAAACCTACAGTTAGTCCTATCTGTCCCTAAAAGTCAGCATTACAAATTACTAAATATAATCAAAATGCCAAGTTAATAAACAATTTTGCTTCTGTTAATAGAGTTCTCAACTACACATTTCCAGATGGAACTGAAAAAAATTATAAACAAACATCAATCATTTGTTCTTATCTATCATAAAAGTAATAAATTCAATGCTGGGCATTTTATTAAAAAATTAAAAGCCTCCAGCTACTATTTTAAAATATTTAAAAATAAAAGAATCCTTTGGTTTTTTTGGTCTATTTCAGACCTAAAAGCAAAGATGTGAGCTTTAAAAGGAAGTCTTGTGATTGAGCAAAATGAACTAACCTTGACCTTGAAGCATTGAAATGTCTCTGAAGTAATTTTACAGCGAGTTACTGTAATTCCCTACTAATCGTGCAAGAATTGACAGGAGGCAGCAGTATCTGCTCTGGAAAGCCTCTGTCACCCCAAAACATCATCAGCTTATTTGCTTGCCCCAAAGGCCACATAAATCCAAAAGTGGAGCCAGCCCACGACACTGGCCTCTGGCCACTGTGCTCAGAGTTCTACAGACACTCTCTTGTGTTTTTAAAAAAACTCTGACCCCTATGAAATGAACACACTCTTAAAGGATGGCCATGGAACACTGTCCATGTCCCATAACTAGAGAAATTTTCTATTATAAAATGTGAGTGTCACTATTCCAGATTCAACCATTTAGACACAAAGTTTATATGGAAAGAGATCATCAGAGGCTATGATTAAAGGTCTTGAGTATTCAGGACAAACAACATTTATCACTCTTTGCCTCTACGGTAGTTTAGTCCTATCTTCCACATGCAGCAGCAACTTCATTGCCAAAAAGAAATACACTGGTTCCCAACACTCCCCAAGGAAATGCAAAGCACCATTCCAATTCTAATTCTAATCTCCTAAATGCAGACGTTTGCCCAGAACATAACAATACAACAACTACAGAGGATTTAGATATTTTTATTTATTTTTTAATAGCTGTCACATAGCCTTAGCAGAAATAAACGAAGATCCCAGAATTGGTCAACCTTGATTCCTCCCTCTCCTGTATACCCCATTTGACAATGGGTGACCAAGTTCTAAAGTTTTAATTCCTAAGAGATTGGTTCCCTCCATCCACAATGCCACTGCTTTTGCCCACAGCCTTGGCTTCTTCTAAGGAACAACCCCAATAGTCAAACTAAATGGTCTCCCTGTCTCCAATATCTACATCCCTTTCCAATACTGAAAACTCTTCTTCGGGTGTAACTAAAACTCCTGCTGCTGAAATTTAACCCCACTTCTGCAGGTTCCTATTTCTTTAATAAAGGAATCCCCTATGTACTACTCTTTTGTCATAGCTCAGTATTTAAATGACCAATTTTCAACAAGATACAAAGCTTTCTGTGTATACTAGGTTTTAAGGATGCTTTTTGAACTTTTTGAAAAGCAGTTTGAGCAGGTGTGTCAAGAGCTTTAAAATGGTTTTCCTCTGACCCAGTGATTCCATTTTGGATAACCTGACTTAAGGAAATAATTCCAGAACTCACTATTAAGTGCTCCTGGCTGCACAGACAATGGGTGAATCAGGCTGGTTTAAAGGCAGTATCTTGGGGTTGAAGGGATGTCACCTTTTGTTTCTGGGTGAATTACATCTCAAAGCCTTGAGCCAGCCCCAACGGCCTAGTGGTTCAAGTTTGGTGCACTCCACTTCGGCAGCCCAGGTTCAATTCCCAGGCGCAGAACCACACCAATCGTCTGTTAGTAGCCATGCTGTGGCGGCAGCTCACACAGAAGAACTGGAACTTATAACTATACACAACTACGCACTGGGGCTTTGGGGGGAAAAAAGGAAGAAAAAGGAGGAAGATTGGCAACAGATGTTAGTGTAGGGTGAATCCTCCCCTGCAAAAAAAACTCAAAGCCTTAAAAATAACTATGAAAGAACTTGCTTCATGTTATTCCACTGCAGTACTATGCAACTTTATAATCAGAACTAGATACACTGAGATCCTTCCGTAAATTGAAATGTTTCTTCAGTGAGCAATTACCAAGCATTCTCCATTTATTTCCAAAACTAATGATACTGATAGCACTGTTTGTCTGCTTAACCAGAACATGCTGCAGGGAGCACTTAGCAACATTTATTTACTGCAGAAAAATAAAAGTAGCAATCCACCTTATATTTACAAACTGCAATATGAGAGAAACAGAAAATAAACAACCTAAGAATTGCCAGGCTCTTCCTGACATCTTGTTCTCCACCCCAACTCTTCAGCTTCCCTTCTGGGAACAACTTCCCCCCTGGAGAGATAGCAAAGAGGGGTGAAACAAGGAGATGGAGTCCAGGCTTGACCCACCACTTACCAGCCAGCACTCTGACCTCGGACAAATTGTTTACTTCTCTAAGCCTGTCTACCCTGTAAAACGGTAAAGTGGAGATAATAGTATGGATATCAGGGTCACTGTGAGGACTGAATGAAATAATCCAATGTGTACTCTGATTTCCCCTAATACTCTGAACCAATACTGGAACTACTCTCTCTCCCCACATCCCCAGCCTACTCATCCTATTCAATCAAATCACACTGCTTCTCACGGTCTTTAGGATAAAGCTCACACCTCCATGACAGAGCATGAAAAGGCCTCCAGGATCCTGCCCCTGCCTTCCTTCTCTATTTCACCTCTCTGCACACCCCCACTCGCACTCGACTAGACATACCAAACTGTTTGAAGTTCCCCAAATGTGCCATGCTTCCTAGCACCCATCCCCTCTGCATCTGAATCTGTCTTCCTAACTTTCCAGTGTTTCAAACTTTAGCCCTCTTTTTCTTGGACATCACTCCCACACTTCAAATTCTCTTCAGCTCTAGAATTACTGTCTTAGACTTTACTACAGAAGGAGAAAGGCAGAACACCATTCTGGTATACTAGTCAAAACTATCCCATTTGAAGACAGCTTCTTATATAATAATAGTTAATAGTTCTCAAGTACATACTATGTGGCAGGCAATAAAATAAAGGCTTTAGATGGATGAACTTATTTAACCTTCATAACAACTTAATAAGGCAGTTGCTGCTGCTGTTATCTCCCACTTTATAGAAAAGTGAAGCACAGAGAGTGAAATAACTTGCCCACTGACGCACAAGCTGAGAGACAGTGTGATCCATGAAAGTTAGAGAGTATTATTCAAAAGAGGTCTTACAATAGGAGTGCTTTGGCCCAACTCTAGAAGTGATGCTCTTAAGTACTAGGGCCTCCTCTACAGTAACAACTCAGGCAATTCAGTGTGATATGTAACAATGATCAGGCAGAAAGCACCTCAGGAATACATGTGAATGGACCCAAAAAAATATGAAAAAGAAGAGCCAAGCAGTAATAACATCCACCATTGAGTTTAGTATACTACATCCAATATAAAACGAAAACACAAGACATATTTGGAAACTAGCTGCAACTTAACAATAACGTAAAACAAAAACCGGTGGCTTATTTTCATCTCATACTGAAGTTTGAAAAACTATATATTTTTACCCCAAATCTAATGATTTTATCAGAGATTTTTAATGAGAATTCTGAAATATCATAAACCAACTAAAGT